ACATCAATAATAGCTGTTGCATTTTCAGTTAACATTTGAATCCAAATTTGCAAGTTATTTTTATACTGTGTAATTGGTTTTGAGATTTATCTCTAAGTCTCTCAGTCTATGAGTTTTTTATTCAGAAGTGGTTCATTTCGAGTCATCTCTCAGTTTAGTTTTCAAGTTAGATTTCTCATACTTTATAACTGATACATATTCTCTGAGCAGGGGCATCTCTTTTCCATTTTGTAACAGCTTAATTGAATCTAGAATTCTTGATCTACAGACTGCTTTCCTCTAAATTGTGCAAATACAACTCCTTACTTTTTATTTTATAACTGGAAGGAAAAGTCTGAAGTCAACCTATTTTTCCCCCTGGATTCCTACTGGAATTTTTCTTCTTGAAATTCAACGTATCTATGGGACTCTTCTCTTTAGAAGTCAATGAGCTCTTCTCCTATGAAGATGCTGATTTGAAGATCCACTTTACTTTGGTTGTTGTCTCTATTCCTATTATTCAGGTTCTCTTTTTTTCCCCCAGATCAATTCAGGCTGGATCTCTTTTCTCTTTCTTCTTTAGTGGTCAATTTCTCTCTCTTCTTTCTCTTTCTCTCTGTATTGAAGATGTATTTCTTTAGTTTCTTCTCAGTTATATTGATTTCATTTTCTATAACGCTCATTCTGCTCATCACTGGCTTTATTGTTTTACTTCTTTACATTTTTCCCTCTATTTTTATCATTTTATTTTTCTATCTTTATCTTTTCTGTTTTACACCCATATCTTTATTTTTCCTTTTCTGTTTTACATAGCTCTCAGATTATCATGCTAATGTTTTCTAAGTTTTAAATCTATTTAGTCTTGTGAAAAATCATTTTTAGTCATATTGAAACTGGCCCAACTGTCCCATAGAACTGATATTTACTGTTCTTTTGGATAAACATAGAACATGACCCTCCTGTTCTTAAAGCTTGAAACTTAACTTTTGCCTTATCTGAGTTCCTTCCTCAGGAAACTGATGCTCAGGCCTCCCAGGTGGTATCCAGGGACTGAAACTCACCAGATCCTGCGTACAGTCAATGGCATGCCAGACCCCTTACTCATCATGATTCCTGTTTACCAACTCCTCTTCCTTACCCCTTCCTAATTTCTATTTTCCCATACGTAGTTACATTTCTTCCCTGATATACAAATTCCAGTTTTAGTTGGTCAAATAAATGGATTTGAGACTGATCTCTCATTCTCCTCAGCTGCAGCACCCGATTAAAAACTTCTTCCCTGGAAATAGTCATCTCAGTGATTGGTATTCTGTGTTATGGGCAGCAGGACCTAGATGGAACCTCTGTTGTTTTGCTAACAATATGTTCTCCATTTTCATACTCCAAGTATTGCTTCTTTTCCCTCGTGTTCCACTGTCTTAGCATTGGCTGATTATTTAATACTTTATTTTTACTTGAATCATTATCTAAAGGAGAGTAGAATCCAGTTGGGTTCATTGCTTACCAGCAGAGATGGTGGATGGAGGGTACTTGACCTCTGTCTAGGTTCCTCATTTTCAGAGGAGCATTTGCCTACTAGTTAAGAGGAGGAATTCTGGAGCCATATGGTTTGGGCTTAAACCTATTAGTTCTGGAGGCACATTTGCCTCCAGAATCACACATCTATTCCCTGCTAGACGAGGGATTCTGGAGCCATATGTTTTGGGTTTAAACCTTAACTCTATCACTTACTATGTGATCTTGGCCATGCCATTAAAACAAACTCTGGGTTACCGTTACTACATTTATAAAATAGAGATCATATACAGTACCTAACTCAAAGATTTGATACAGATTAACTGTGCTATTATATGAAAAACTCAGAAAAACTCATGACATATAACAAATGCTGTGTAAGGGTTCACTATTTTTTTTTTAACAATCTAACCTGAAAATTTATTTGCTACAATCCAAGGTTGTTGAATGGTCAATTCTTGACCACTCCAGGGCGGTGGTCAGTTTCTTGAGGAAGTTCTTTTCCTCTCTACAAGTCTCTCTAATTGAACTGGAGATTCATATGCTACTTGCAGCTTTTCTTTTGTAAGTACATAAAACAAACGCCACCCACATCCATCCCTCCAGCACTCTTCTTTCAGCCTTCCACTTTAGCAAGCAAAGCATCTTTAAGCTTCCTGTTGTGTTGTGAGCTGCAAGTTGTGGTCTGTAAAAGGATGAGGGAAAGGAGAGTTAGCAGAGTAAAATAAAGGTGTGGATCTGCAGGTATCATCTGTGGTGTTTGGAGATGGCCCCCTGCTATACTCATTAGCACAGTGTTTGCATTCTGAAATCTGAGAGAGAAAGTTAAGGAGTATTTAAGTCCTACTCTACCATGTGGAAATGTGTTTCTAACTCAGTTTAGAGTCTGTGGCATAAAACTACATGACCCTAATACATTTCTCAATCAGTCCATGTTGACAAGGCAGCCTGTGCCAGTGTTGCCTTGCCTTGCACAGAGGGTCTTCTCTTACATTGAGTCCATTGTACTGATTTCAACTTCGTTCTTTTTTGTGTATCTTTAGTTGGGAAAATATGTTGTAGCTATGTCTTTATTTCACTTATTCACTCAACAACGTTTATTTATTACACTTTCCATGATGTCAGTCCTGAAACCTCCCTCATAACAATATGTAATATAGTGTCTTCATGTTCATGCCTTCTACCAGATCCAAACACATGCCGTCTGGAAAGAAAGACAGATTTTAAGTACCATTTTATTTTATTACTACTACTATTATTATTATTATTATTTTTTATCAGAAATGAGGTTTCATCATGTTGGTCAGACTGGTTTTGAACTCCTAACCTTAAGTGATCTGCCCGCCTTGGCCTCCCAAAGTGTTGGGATTTCAGGCATGAGTCACTTCACCTGACTTTAAGTGCCATTTTAAAACAGCAGTTTGCGACTTGTGTCATCCCTCTCAATGTGGGGTGCCACTCTGCGTACAGGACCCTGTACGCTCTTCTGTTTTCAAGGTGCCTCGGTGCAGAAGTTTGGGAAACCCTGGTTTCACAGTCGATGGGAAGACACCAATGACTTTTCAGGCAGAGACATTACGTGAGAAGGAAAGAAGGATACCCCAAGAAGCAGGGAGGCCAGTAGAAAACACCTGCAATAGCTCAGGAGGGGAGGTAGTACATCTGAAACAGACTGGCAACATTGGGAAGAAGAGGAAGGAAAGTACTTAAGAATGATTTAGGAGGTAGAATGGCTTGGTTGAAGAAATGAAGGAAATTGGAGATGAACAAGGACTCCCTGGCTTTAGGCTTGTGTAATGGGAGAATGTTGGTATCATTCTTTGAGCCGGGATTCAAGAGGAAGAGACTTTGAATTGCAGGACGGGGGCCACATGGGCCACGTCTCTAACAAAGAGTCTGAGGCCTGATTTGGATCACTTCCTGAGTTCCTTTTATTCACATTAATAAAGGAGATATAGGGAAACATATTGCTCTTATTATGATAATTACCATGAAAATTAATGATCACATGAAAAAACTGTCTCTGAGTAAGCTACTTCTAGCAATATTTATTTGTTCTGAAAGCACAGGGTCCTCGTCATGTTTGCAAAACCTCTCTCTTCCGCTATCGTGTTAACCTTCCTATCCCTACCCAGGAATGTCATCCTTCAGATATGGCATCTTGTGACTTTTATCAATCTCCATGACCTTTACATAATGCACCAAGAAAACAATGGAACAAGACAGGGGCAACAGAGAAGAGTTGTTGAGATTAATGAAGGGGTTTTGAGACCATCTTAACAAGAGTCAGGATTGCTGAAAATGAGGACATCAGGGAGTATGGAAGACTCAGAAGAGGAAGACCTTTCATTCCATAGGGGGAATATGCCCTTCACTGCCTAAAGCCTCTGGCGTTATCAGGAAGTGAGTAGACACAGGATTTACTTCATGAATTTGTTTCTGGTGAGATTTCATGGTGGAAGAGCACTGGCCAGAGCCAGCTGGACTGGGAGTCAGCAATGCTGGCTATGGCCAGTGCTCTGTGCCAACTGCAGGCTCCCTAGGTACTCCTGTGTTTTGGACTTCAGGTTCCTTATCTGTCACATGATTGGATTCTTGAAGTTCCAGAGCCCAGAAAGTCTCTGCTTCTTCCTCGTCTCTGTGGTGAACCCAATGCAAACAACAAAGAAATGTACTGATGACACATGAAGCATTACTGCTATTCAAATCAGCCACCTGTAAATTATTTCTCTGCTGTCAGATCACATAAGAGGAGTTACTAGACTCAGGCTCAGAGTAAAGGTGTTCTGATGTCCATCCGTCCAGAATCTGATCAGCTTCTCATCACCCAGACATCGCCTGAGAACAATGAGAATCTCCAGGTGTCCTACCACCTATAGGCAGATCCCTGTCTGCTCCTCAAAATACAGAATTGGGCAATCGCTATCAGTCCTTGTTGGCATGGTGCCACTTTGATTCCAATTATCACCATCGCCCCTCCCTGACATTCACATCTGGGATACAAGGAGTTGAAGATCCTCAGGCCACCTATGAGAGAAGGGAATTCACGCACACTCAGTCAGCAAAGGGTGGCTCTCAGAAAAATAATAATAATAATAATAGTTTAGGTGAAATTTCCTCATCCAGGGTATCAGCTATATCCCAACAGGAGAGTTGGGACAATTTTCTGATGACTTAAGGCCCCGTGAAACACATTCTTCAGCCTGATAATGAGCGACTTATTACTAAAACCAGAAAAATATATGCCAGGATAATCACATAGTAGACATTGAAATACAACATCCTCAGCAACAACCCTACAATGGATGTGGTGATGAAGGCCATAGAGAGTTTCCTCAAAATATTCATCAAGGTAAGTGGATGGTATCATCCCAAGGTATAATACAATTCCAAGCAAGAGTTTCATAGCTGATGTCACAAGATGCTCCAGAGAGGAGGAGCTCTGCTGGTTTGTTTTGATCCAAGTGTAACCTTGGATTTCTGCTTTGCTTTCTGGTACTTGCCAGCACTGGATTCATCATGAAAAGAATCAATCCGGAGCAAGATGGCCGAATAGGAACAGCTCCAGTCTCCAACTCCCAGCGCGAGCGACACAGAAGACCAGTGATTTCTGCACTTTCAACCGAGGTACTGGGTTAATCTCACTAGGGAGTGCTGGACAATCGGTGCTGGTCAGCTGCTGCAGCCCGACCAGCTAGAGCTGAAGCAGGGCGAGGCATCGCCTCACCTGGGAAGGGCAAGGGGAAAGGGAATCCCTTTTCCTAGCCAGGGGAACTGAGACACACAACACCTGGAAAATTGGGTAACTCCCACCCCAATACTGTGCTTTAAGCAAACAGGCACACCAGGAGATTATATCCCACACCTGGCCGGGAGGGACCCACGCCCACGGAGCCTCCCTCATTGCTAGCACAGCAGTTTGCGATCTCGCAGCAAGGCAGCAGCGAGGCTGGGGGATGGGCGCCCGCCATTGGTGAGGCTTAAGTAGGTAAACAAAGCTGCTGGGAAGCTCGAACTGGGTGGAGCTCACAGCAGCTCAAGGAAACCTGCCTGTCTCTGTAGACTCCACCTCTGGGGACAGGGCACAGTAAACAAAAGCAGCAGAAACCTCTGCAGATGCAAACGACTCTGTCTGACAGCTTTGAAGAGAGCAGTGGATCTCCCAACACGGAGGTTGAGATCTGAGAAGGGACAGACTCCCTGCTCAAGTGGGTCCCTGACCCCTGAGTAGCCTAACTGGGAGACATCCCCCACTAGGGGCAGTCTGACACCCCACACCTCACAGGGTGGAGTACACCCCTGAGAGGAAGCCTCCAAAGCAAGAATCAGACAGGTACACTCGCGGTTCAGCAATATTCTATCTTCTACAGCCTCTGCTGCTGACACCCAGGCAAACGGGGTCTGGAGTGGACCTCAAGCAATCTCCAACAGACCTACAGCTGAGGGTCCTGACTGTTAGAAGGAGAACTTTCAAACAGGAAGGACACCTACACCAAAACCCCATCAGTACGTCACCATCATCATCAAAGACCAGAGGCAGATAAAACCACAAAGATGGGGAAAAAGCAGGGCAGAAAAGCTGGAAATTCAAAAAATAAGAGCGCATCTCCCCCGGCAAAGGAGCGCAGCTCATCGCCAGCAACGGATCAAAGTTTGACGGAGAATGACTTTGACGAGATGAGAGAAGAAGGCTTCAGTCCATCAAACTTCTCAGAGCTAAAGGAGGAATTACGTACCCAGCGCAAAGAAACTAAAAATCTTGAAAAAAAAAGTGGAAGAATTGATGGCTAGAGTAATTAATGCAGAGAAGGTCATAAACGAAATGAAAGAGATGAAAACCATGACACGAGAAATACTTGACAAATGCACAAGCTTCAGTAACCGACTCGATCAACTGGAAGAAAGAGTATCAGCGATTGAGGATCAAATGAACGAAATGAAGCGAGAAGAGAAACCAAAAGAAAAAAGAAGAAAAAGAAATGAACAAAGCCTGCAAGAAGTATGGGATTATGTAAAAAGACCAAATCTACGTCTGATTGGGGTGCCTGAAAGTGAGGGGGAAAGTGGAACTAAGTTGGAAAGCACTCTTCAGGATATCATCCAGGAGAACTTCCCCAACCTAGTAGGGCTGGCCAACATTCAAATCCAGGAAATACAAACAACACCACAGAGATACTCCTCGAGAAGAGCAACTCCAAGACACGTAATTGCCAGATTCACCAAAGTTGAAATGAAGGAAAAAATCTTAAGGGCAGCCAGAGAGAAAGGTCGGGTTACCCACAAAGGGAAGCCCATCAGACTAACAGCAGATCTCTTGGCAGAAACTCTACAAGCCAGAAGAGAGTGGGGGCCAATATTCAACATTCTTAAAGAAAAGAATTTTCAACCCAGAATTTCATATCCAGCCAAACTAAGTTTCATCAGTGAAGGAGAAATAAAATCCTTTACAGATAAGCAAATGCTTAGAGATTTTGTCACCACCAGGCCTGCCTTACAAGAGATCCTGAAGGAAGCACTAAACATGGAAAGGAACAACTGGTACCAGCCATTGCAAAAACATGCCAAAATGTAAAGACCATTTAGGCTAGGAAGAAACTGCATCAACTAATGAGCAAAATAAGCAGTTAATATCATAATGGCAGGATCAAGTTCACACATAACAATATTAACCTTAAATGTAAATGGACTAAATGCTCCAATTAAAAGACACAGACTGGAAAACTGGATAAAGAGTCAAGACCCATCAGTTTGCTGTATTCAGGAGACCCATCTCACACGCAGAGACATACATAGGCTCAAAATAAAGGGATGGAGGAAGATTTACCAAGCAAATGGAGAACAAAAAAAAGCAGGGGTTGCAATACTAGTCTCTGATAAAACAGACTTTAAGCCATCAAAGATCAAAAGAGACAAAGAAGGCTATTACATAATGGTAAAGGGGTCAATTCAACAGGAAGAGCTAAGTATCCTAAATATATATGCACCCAATACAGGAGCACCCAGATTCATAAAGCAAGTCCTTAGAGACTTACAAAGTGACTTAGACTCCCATACAATAATAATGGGAGACTTCAACACTCCACTGTCAACATTAGACAGATCAACGAGACAGAAAGTTAACAAGGATATCCAGGAATTGAACTCATCTCTGCAGCAAGCAGACCTAATAGACATCTATAGAACTCTCCACCCCAAATCAACAGAATATACATTCTTCTCAGCACCACATCGTACTTACTCCAAAATTGACCACATAATTGGAAGTAAAGCACTCCTCAGCAAATGTACAAGAACAGAAATTATAACAAACTGTCTCTCAGACCACAGTGCAATCAAACTAGAACTCAGGACTAAGAAACTCAATCCAAACCACTCAACTACATGGAAACTGAACAACCTGCTCCTGAATGACTACTGGGTACATAACGAAAAGAAGGCAGAAATAAAGATGTTCTTTGAAACCAATGAGAACAAAGATACAACATACCAGAATCTCTGGGACACATTTAAAGCAGTGTGTAGAGGGAAATTTATAGCACCAAATGCCCACAAGAGAAAGCAGGAAAGATCTAAAATTGACACTCTAACATCACAATTAAAAGAACTAGAGAAGCAAGAGCAAACGCATTCAAAAGCTAGCAGAAGGCAAGAAATAACTAAGATCAGAGCAGAACTGAAGGAGATAGAGACACAAAAAACCCTCCAAAAAATCAATGAATCCAGGAGTTGGTTTTTTGAAAAGATCAACAAAATTGACAGACCACTAGCAAGACTAATAAAGAAGAAAAGAGAGAAGAATCAAATCGACGCAATTAAAAATGATAAAGGGGATATCACCACCGACCCCACAGAAATACAAACTACCATCAGAGAATACTATAAACACCTCTCTGCAAATAAACTGGAAAATCTAGAAGAAATGGATAATTTCCTGGACACTTACACTCTTCCAAGACTAAACCAGGAAGAAGTTGAATCCCTGAATAGACCAATAGTAGGCTCTGAAATTGAGGCAATAATTAATAGCCTACCAACCAAAAAAAGTCCAGGACCAGATGGATTCACAGCTGAATTCTACCAGAGGTACAAGGAGGAGCTGGTACCATTCCTTCTGAAACTATTCCAATCAATAGAAAAAGAGGGAATCCTCCCTAACTCATTTTATGAGGCCAACATCATCCTGATACCAAAGCCTGGCAGAGACACAACAAAAAAAGAGAATTTTAGACCAATATCCCTGATGAACTTCGATGCAAAAATCCTCAATAAAATACTGGCAAACCGGATTCAACAGCACATCAAAAAGCTTATCCACCATGATCAAGTGGGCTTCATCCCTGGGATGCAAGGCTGGTTCAACATTCGCAAATCAATAAACATAATCCAGCATATAAACAGAACCAAAGACAAGAACCACATCATTATCTCAATAGATGCAGAAAAGGCTTTTGACAAAATTCAACAGCCCTTCATGCTAAAAACGCTCAATAAATTCGGTATTGATGGAACGTACCTCAAAATAATAAGAGCTATTTATGACAAACCCACAGCCAATATCATACTGAATGGGCAAAAACTGGAAAAATTCCCTTTGAAAACTGGCACAAGACAGGGATGCCCTCTCTCACCACTCCTATTCAACATAGTGTTGGAAGTTCTGGCTAGGGCAATCAGGCAAGAGAAAGAAATCAAGGGGATTCAGTTGGAAAAGAAGAAGTCAAATTGTCCCTGTTTGCAGATGACATGATTGTATATTTAGAAAACCCCATTGTCTCAGCCCAAAATCTCCTTTAGCTGATAAGCAACTTCAGCAAAGTCTCAGGATACAAAATTAATGTGCAAAAATCACAAGCATTCGTATACACCAGTAACAGACACACAGAGAGCCAAATCATGAATGAACTTCCATCCACAATTGCTTCAAAGAGAATAAAATACCTAGGAATCCAACTTACAAGGGATGTAAAGGACCTCTTCAAGGAGAACTACAAACCACTGCTCAGTGAAATCAAAGAGGACACAAACAAATGGAAGAACATACCATGCTCATGGATAGGAAGAATCAATATCATGAAAATGGCCATACTGCCCAAGGTTATTTATAGATTCAATGCCATCCCCATCAAGCTACCAATGAGTTTCTTCACAGAATTGGAAAAAACTGCTTTAAAAGTTCATATGGAACCAAAAAAGAGCCCGCATCTCCAAGACAATCCTAAGTCAAAAGAACAAAGCTGGAGGCATCACGCTACCTGACTTCAAACTATACTACAAGGCTACAGTAACCAAAACAGCATGGTACTGGTACCAAAACAGAGATATAGACCAATGGAACAGAACAGAGTCCTCAGAAATAATACCACACATCTACAGCCATCTGATCTTTGACAAACCTGAGAGAAACAAGAAATGGGGAAAGGATTCCCTATTTAATAAATGGTGCTGGGAAAATTGGCTAGCCATAAGTAGAAAGCTGAAACTGGATCCTTTCCTTACTCCTTATACGAAAATTAATTCAAGATGGATTAGAGACTTAAATGTTAGACCTAATACCATAAAAACCCTAGAGGAAATCCTAGGTAGTACCATTCAGGACATAGGCATGCAAAGACTCACATGTCTAAAACACTAAAAGCAATACAAAAGCCAAAATTGACAAATGGATCTAATTAAACTAAAGAGCTTCTTGCACAGCAAAAGAAACTACCATCAGAGTGAATAGGCAACCTACAGAATGGGAGAACATTTTTGCAATCTACCCATCTGACAAAGGGCCAGCATCCAGAACCTACAAAGAACTCAAACAAATTACAAGAAAAAACAACCCCATCAAAAAGTGGGCAAAGGATATGAACAGACATTCCTCAAAAGAGGAAATTCATACAGCAAAGAGACACATGAAAAAATACTCATCATCACTGGCCATCAGAGAAATGCAAATCAAAACCACAATGAGATACCATCTCACACCAGTTAGAATGGCGATCATTAAAAAGTCAGGAAACAACAGGTGCGGGATAGGATGTGGAGAAATAGGAACACTTTTACACTGTTGGTGGGATTGTAAACTAGTTCAACCATTATGGAAAACAGTATGGCGATTCCTCAAGGATCTAGAACTAGATGTACCATATGACCCAGCCATCCCATTACTGGGTATATACCCAAAGGATTATAAATCATGCTGCTATAAAGACACATGCACACGTATGTTTATTGCGGCACTATTCACAATAGCAAAGACTTGGAATCAACCCAAATGTCCATCAGTGACAGACTGGATTAAGAAAATGTGGCACATATACACCATGGAATACTATGCAGCCATAAAAAAGGATGAGTTTGTGTCCTTTGTAGGGACATGGATGCAGCTGGAAACCATCATTCTTAGCAAACTATCACAAGAACAGAAAAGCAAACACCGCATGTTCTCACTCATAGGTGGGAACTGAACAATGAGATCGCTTGGACTCGGGAAGGGGAACATCACACACCGGGGCCTATCAAGGGGAGGGGGGAGGGGGGAGGGATTGCATTGGGAGTTATACCTGATGTAAATGACAAGTTGATGGGTGCTGACGAGTTGATGGGTGCAGCACAGCAACATGGCACAAGTATACGTATGTAACAAACCTGCACGTTATGCACATGTACCCTAGAACTTAAAGTATAATAATAAAAAAATAAAAAATAAAAAAATAAAACGGCGACTATATAAAAAAAAAAAAGAAGAAAGAAAAGAATCAATCCTAAGAGTTTTTTAAAAAAGTTGAGGTGAACTCTCTTTGGCAACAGTACCAATCCTGTGAGCTAGTTAGGAGTGCTTTTGGCCACAAGTAACATGAATCCTATTAAATAGTGGTTTTATGATTTAAAAACCTAAATTGTTTGCATAGCAAAAAATTCTAAAGGCAGCTGCCTCATACTTAATTCAACAGCTGAAGTTTGTCATTGAAAATCTAGCCTCTTTCCATCTTTCTACTCTGCCCTCTTGAGAATATTGGCTGTTTGTGTTTGTGTTTGTTGCCTCATGGCTGCAAAATGACTGCTGTGGTCATTTTGTGTCAAGCATCTCAGTCATATTCAAAAGCCTGTTGCCCCGATCCATTCAAATTAGTATGGATCAGGGCAACAGGCGTTCTCCTCAAAAGTCTCTATTAGGAAAGTCCTGCCTTTCCTAGAATTCACCATCGGATATCCCCTTCCATCTCACTGGTCAGAGCTGGAACATGGGCCACCCCTATCTAAAAGGGGAGCTGTGAGAGGGCAAAGGAAAATATTAGGGCTTCTAGATAGTCAAACAATAGTCTCTGCCACATCCAGGGAAGTGCCTTGAGGCAAAAGAAGCCTTCACCTTGCTTGAAGGATGTTTCTTTTATTTTCCAGGGCCACAAAGACCTTTACAGGAGGAGCAACAAAGTATAGCTGCCTGAGACAAAAATCTATTCAAGCTTAAAATGCAAGAGCATTAGCTGCTCAGAGCCATCACCAAGGAGAGATAAAATACGTCTGCTCTCTCAAGACCTGGGAGATGCTAGCAGTGTGATTGTTTTTTTGGCTGGGAAAGCTGCTTAGCCGACAGAAAAAGGAACGTACCTGAACATTTATGGGTTGGCTTTTCAAAGAGAGCATCCCGTCTTCCTTTCACCCCTCCCTCCTCCCCTTCCCTGTAAAGGAACACTTAGCAAAAGTAAATAAATTATCAGCCCTGGCCATGCAGAAATGCCTCTCACAGGGTAATGCAGGGATGTCTGAAGCCATAAAGGGAATTTTCAGAGCTGAAGTCATCAACACGGAAGAGGCAAGCAGGGGAGAGGCTGGGAGGAATGTGGAGATTCCCTCTTCCCCTTGCTGGTCTGGGCTATAATGGAGAAGACCTGGGGCTCCTTATGAGTGCTGACCCAAAAAAGTCTGGGCAGAGGGTGATCATCCCAGGCTGCTCAGGATCGTGCAGTTATTGAGCTCAAACAAAGCACTGTGGTGTAGAGAGCTGAGCACTGGGTTTGGAGCCAGGAACCCTGGCTCTCAGGTCCTCCTCTGCCATCCTCTTGCTGGCTGATCTCCAGTCAGTGAGCTATTCTGAACTTTGTCTTATCTGGGAAATAGAAATGATAACATCTATGTTTGCAATGGACTGAATAGTGTCCCTCTCCACAAATTCAGACATTGAAACACTGACCCCTTGAGGGGCTGTATTCAGAGATGGGGCTTTCAGGAAGTAATAACGGTTCAATGAGGTGAGAAAGGTGGGGCCCCATTCTGATGGTACTGGAGACCTTATAAGAAGAGAAAGAGGGAAAGATCTTTTGCTCTCTCTCCATGCACTCAGAGGAAAGGCCATGTGATAACACAATGAGAAGGTGGCTTTCTACGAGCCAGGAAGAGAGTTCTCACCAGGAGGCAAATTGGCCAGCACCTTGATCTTCGACTTCTAACCTGCAGAATTGGGGGAAAATCAGCCTCTGCTGTTGAAGCCACCAGTCTGTGGTGCTCTGTTATAGCAGCTCAGGCACATCATACAATCTCCTAACGTGCTTGAAAAAACAGTCCAAGAAGGCAGGTGAGGAAGTCCAAGAAGTCCTCACTCTTCATCAGAGTGAAACACCATGATGCCATGCAGCCCGGCCTTCTCACTTAGCACATGAGGATCTGAGGCCTAGAGGTGTTAGGGACTGACATGGTTTGGCTGTGTCCCCACCCAAATCTCATCCTGTAACTCCCCTGATTCCCATGTGTCATGGGAGGAGCCTGGTGGGAGGTGATTGAATTATGGGGGCAGGTCTTTCCTGCACTGTTCTCCTGATAGTGAATGAGTCTCATGAGATCTGATGGTTTTAAAACTGGAGTTTCTCTGCAGAGCTCTCTCTTTGCTGCAATCCACAGAAGATGTGACTTGTTCCTCCCCACCTTCCATTGTGATTGTGAGGCCTCCCCAGCCATGTGGAACTGTAAATCCAATAAACCTCTTTCTTTTGTAAATTGCCCAGTCTCAGGTATGTCTTTATCAGCAGCAAGAAAACGGACTAATACAGGGACTACCTAAGGTGGACCAACTCTGCCCTGGCAGGTGAGACACCGCTCCGTTTTCCTGGTTTGGAGGGGAACTCTTTCCACAGAGAGGCAACCTGTGGCCATCTCGAGGGAGGAGACAGTCCTCTCCTGCCTCACACTCTACTGTGCTGGAACCGAAGCTCAGCTCCTTTCTTTCTTGGCAAAAAGCATTGAGGTCCAGACACTTTCTGTGCCAGGCAGCCACACTCTCCTTTGGAGATCTGAGTGTCCAGGAGTTTCAGGGAATAAACAATCTGAACATAACTTTTACTCATCAAACTCATGATTCAAAACCTGCTGAACTGCTAGGACAACCTAGTCTACGTGCTGAAATGAACACGTTTCTGTGTTTACTTCCATTTAGTTAATACAAGGTGTGTTTATGCTCTAGAATATGCGTATTTCATCCCCTTTTGACTTGGGAAAAAACTAATCAAAAATATTTTCTAACTCTCCAGTGCCCACTCCCAAAATGAACCTGGCCAGATGCTGAGGCTGCAGGTTGCTTGGTGGCCTTGTCCAGTTCTGGGGGACTGAGGTGTGCAGTGCTGAGGACTCCCTGGGGACCCTCAGGCCTCCTGCAGAAGCTCTGGTGGCCTCCTCTTGTCTTGAGGTTTGCTCAGGCTTTGGGTGGAACTTCCTCTCTTATGCAAGGTTGGGCACAATTTCCAGACCCCTTGGGCAAGCCAAGGCCACCAAGCAATGTGAGGTCTCAGCATCTGGCCCACTTTATTTTGGAAGTGGGCACTGAAGAGTTAGAAAACATTTTTCATTACTTTTTTTTTCCCCGTCAAAAGGGGGTGGAATATGCATATACTAGGGCACAAACGTCCATTTTATTAACTAAATAGAAGTAACATTTCTTAAAGATGCCACCTTCACAGAGCAGCATAGAGGATTTGGGGGTCAGCTTCCTGGGTGTGGCTTTGTCCTGGCTTGGACAGAGTGGGGGTAACAGCTGTGTTTACACTGAGCACTCCTCGTTGCTTCTGATATGGTATTTATTTTAACATCAACTTTTCCATTTATCTTTGTTTGTCAGGGAAACGCATACACACACACAGCCCCTAAATCTCCTTGTACAAAGAAAAGCTAGGTAGGTTATAATTTCCTTCTTGGAAAAAAAAAAAAAAAAGAAAACCTACAAACTCCTCACAGTATGATTTCATAGGCCATGCTAATTATTTTTTAGGGCGAGCATAATAAAACCCAGGTGACTTGCCTTCAGCAGTTTCTCCTTATCTTCACACAGCTCTGGATCGTTTACTGGCATGGCAAGCAATTACCATGAGCCCTGCAGTTTTTACCAGACATTCTTTGTCAGAACCCTGCTAGAGTCCACAAAGGTTAATATGCTTTTGCACTACAAAATCTGGGCATTATCTTGTGTATTGTAAGACATGCCTGTGACACGTTGAATTCAGACGATTTACAAGATCAGCAAAACAGAAGGGGTTCCCGTTGGGAGCGTTTTCTGCTAATGATTTCCTCATCTGCATGTAACTCTGGGAGGTGTGGTGGTTTGCACAGGACTTCTGCAGGGGGCAGGGCTTTTGGTCCTGTTTCTCCAGGGGTGCTGAAGAGTTTGGAGTGTGACCTGCTCACGTGGGCATGTGCGGCTGCCCAGAGATGTGCTTCTCCTGGAAATAGTATTTTGTTTCTGTTTCTCATAATTATTGTATATAATTTATTTGAGTTAAGATTCTAATGTTAAATGCATCATCCATCATCCATATACAGAAATAACTGCACTGAGCATTTTTTTTAAGAGACAGGGTCTTTCTCTGTTGCCTAGGCTGGAATGCAGTGGTGCAATCACAGTTGATGGCAGCCTTGAAGTCCTGTGCTCAAGTGATCGTCCCACCTCAGCCTCTGGAGTAGCTGCTACTATAGGCATGTGCCGGTATGCCTGGCTACTTTTTAAAACGTTTTGTAGAATCAGTTTTACTTTGTTGCCCAGACTGGAAAGCAAGTGTTTGGAGTGACTTTCTGGAAAAGAAGATTTGGACCTAAATATTGTTGGAATTGGGAGGTACAGTATCTGATCCCCATTAAGACCTCAACTCAGATATGACTTCCTTCATGGGGAGTTCCCTGGCTGCCTGTCCTACATTGTCCTGCCTTCCTATTACCACTCCTGTCCCCCAAATTAGGACTTGTCTTCCTCAGTCTTTGAAGTGGTTGCATTTGTGTGTTAAACAGATTCAGTGGCTGTCACCCCTCTGGGATGTGACGCCGTGGAGCCAGTACTCTGCCGGTTTTTATTCACTGTTACATCCTCCAGCCAAGACAGTTTCTGGCTCAGAGGAGGCCCCAATAAATATTTGTTGAGTTTTCACGTATTTTCTCTCCCTGTCTGTATAGTAAGCAGAGGTGCTGGGTATGGAATAGTGTTGGCTGTCTTATTCAGAATCCACTGTTTAAGGATTCATCCTGAATTTGCTCTCATTCATTCATTCATTCATTTATTGGTTCACTAAAAATTTAACACATATATTTATACTTTCTTATAGCCTTGATGTCACCGTGAACCTTGCAGTGCACATGGATGTCATTTTGAGAGCAGCCTCTGGGGACCATCAGGGGGAACCTGGGACATGGGCTTTCTGGCTCCTCAAGCTAAATTACAGGGTGGCTGAGATCTGTGAACCTACTAAACTGGTCATAGTGGATAAGGGGTGCCCCCCACCCCCGCCAGGAGATAACCAGTCTTCATAATGCAGGTACTTCCATTCATTAATTGCTTCATCATTTTACAAAGTAGATATTGAGGCTTTGGGGCAGCTTAAACAAAGGCTCAGTTGGTAGGCAGTGGAGAAACCTCAATGAAGAAGCACTTACTTTGACTCGATATGGATGGATTTAGATAGCAGATCTCATCGTGGCCTTTGGTCCCACCGCCAAAGAAGCGGGCTATGCTCTCCTCTCTCTGACCTACTATTTAGGGACAGAGCAAGGCAAAGTGGCCACAGCAATTGGAACAGTTCAAGTTACAAATGACTTCCCAAATTGTCCAGCCTCTAGCGGAGGCCCCTGGATCAGCACAGTAATTTGCTCCATGTCATATAACCAATCAGTGTCAGCGCCAAGGCTAAAACCCAGATCTTGGGGTTCCCAGGCCAGTGCTTTGGGGCAAGTGACGCTCCATGACCTAACTGGATGCCACTGCATGGCCTCCCAGGGGAGGTAAGGGTTGGGGAACAGGCAGCCTCACCTTCTCTCCTACTCCTCTTTCTCTGTTGCCTCCCCAGTGTTGTGGTCTGGTCCCTCTCACAGGCTTTTCCAGCACGAGCCCTTTCCATTTCAACCTTAGCCTCTTGTTGGCCTAGATGCAATTCTTGGCCAAGGCTGGTATAACTGGTGCCATGGCCAGTGGCCAGAATGTTGGTAGAAATTCACATAGACATTGATTTCCTTGCTTTTTCCTGCTAGAGAAAACCCTATTTCCTTGGGCCTACAGGATCTGCCTGGCGTTCACGGCATCCCTGCACCCCACCCCACCTTGCTGGCTTCAGTGGTTCCCTTCTCCTTCCCCTCTGTATCCTCAACACCCTGCAGCCACTCACTTCTCACTGCTGCTTTCTTTCCTCTGAAACTTCTCCATAAGCTGTAAAACAGTCCATCCAATAAGCACAGGCTTGGGTAGCTCTTATTCCATGAATACTTCCACTCCCTCTGATCGATATCCCTCTCCAAGTCCCTGCAGCATTATGACTTATACTATCAAATCCTCACTGTGTTTCACTGCCTCTTTGACTGTTTTCTGCTATTTGCAGTGAGGTTATCTGGTCTCCCCAGCTCCAATTATGAGCCCAGTTCACGTGAGTGACATACTAGTCCCCAATACTTACATATCCATGGACTGGCTGAAGTAGAGCTTTTTACTTTTTGATTTAAAAAAAAAATAACAGATTACAACATAGTAATATGGTCTTTAGCAGTTGACATAAGATAAATTAATAGGTCACAGGTTAGCTTCATGTTCTGGTATCTTATGGCTTGTGATGTTTCCCACTGTTAGACTGGGGCACATAAATTCAAACTTCTTTTACCCCCACAACCCTGCCTCTGACCTTTTTATGAAATTCTGTGAATTATTCATCAGCCACGCCCATGTCTGGCATGACGTCGATTCCTTTTAGCCTCTGCTCTTCTCGAAGGGAAGCTGGCTGTAAGTCCCCAACATCACTTTAATTCCTCGATGTCATCAGCCCCGGATTATCATTTTGTTGCTGGTATTGGACGATGAGAAAAACCATGCAGACAGTTGGAACGCAGCCTTAAATTGTTTCCCCAAACAAAATCAAACCTGCCTGGACATCAAAGGAGGCACTGTGGAGCATCAGTCTGAGAGATTTCCGTTTTTATCAACATTCCCTCCAAACTTCCTCCATTTCCAGCTGTCTGACAATTCCCTTTAAAACACAGACCTGACCCTGTAAGGCCTTGGGAAGATGGTTGAACAGGAATACCATAAAAGCAAGGGATTTAACTTCACAAAAATAACAGCTGGAGAGAATGGAATGGAACAGGCTTTGGAAGCCAGGGAAAAGCACGCATTCATGGACATGCACACGCACCCCGCGAAACACTGATTGGCCCACATCCATCATCATTTCATTAAAAATGTACAAACCTGAAAACATTTTTTAAAACGAAAAGTTCAAGCCCATAGTAACTGAGTCTGAAAGGGAGAGAGACCCCAGGCTATTCCTGTGTACCCCTTTGCCAGGGATCTTTTCCCTTCTAGTCCCAACTCGACTGCTCTTCCTTCCCCTCCCTGCCCCTCATTTGCCCCTGAACAAGTCATTTACAAGAGATGGCTGTCGTGGAGCATAAAGAAATAATTTAAAAAATCTTCAAAAGGCTGGCAGCATAAAAATCCCTGGCTCTGTCGTTCCTCTGTTTCTGCAAGCAGCAAAAGATCTATAATTCTCACACTTAATGTAATTCCAAGGCATCTAAAGTGATTTACAGTCGGTTTACTCAATACTTTCAGCTTTATTTAATGTAACAGTTATGGCACATAAAAAGTTTATTGAAAATCCTTTGGGAGTGCGATTGAGTAAGAAAGAGTCATTGCTAATACCATTACAGAAACAGAAGGAAAGGATCTCAGCCTGGGTTTTTTTCTGTGACCTTTATGGTTCCACGAACAAGGGTCATGTGGGAAAAGACTCGTCTCCCATCCCTCGGCCATCACGTAGATGTGTCTGCTGCCAGCTACAGGGCTGAAATGCTGGCTGTGTCTGGACAGCTTTTCTTTAAGCCTGGCTGGCAAAGTGACTTGGAGGTTGGACCTTGGTTTAGATTATTCTGGAGTCTCTATTATTATGCAAGGCCTAGGTTCAGCAAAATCTGCAAAAGGGAAAAAAAAGCTAATTGTTTCCCTCTAATGCTGCCCTGTTTCAATGTTTAATAGGCCCCACTTTCTAGTTGGCTCAGCTCCTCTGGAGTTCAGTTCAGTCCCCCTGGTGGCTGTGGATGCGAAGAAGTGAGGGAACGTGGACTAATACCTTCCATACCCTTTTGAGATAAGCAGGTCTGGTCACTGCTATGGAGACAAAAGCTCTACTGTTTCCTGGGGTCCTTGTGCTGGCTGCTTCAGAAAGGAAATGATCTATGAAAATCATGGCTCTCACCATGGTCGGTCTCAAAATATTTAAATATTTGACATTTGCCCACATATATTCCCATTGGCTGTATAAATAAATAAATACATACATACATAAATACAAACAAACTGAGACGCAGAAGATCGTTTGGAGAACAGCCTGACCCACTGATGTCTGTGGATTCAATGAAAATGGCTTCCTGTCTCTTGGCAAACTGTCACTTCCTATGTCTGCTCTCCCCGTGTGACTGCTTATATTTGGGAATTTTCTAAGAACCCTGATGGTGACAGAGTGGACCCGGGAGCAGATGTGGCACTAGCATTTACTCTTGCTCTTACTTCTCTACAAAAATGCATTTCAGTTCTAGTCATAAGATATTTCTTCATCTCTTTGGTAAAAGTAGAGCTCTTGGAGGTTTCTCTCTCTCTCTCTCTCTCTGATACACACACACACACACACACACACACACACACACCAGCTTTGGAAAAATGACATACTCTACACTTGTAAATTTTTATGACACCTGA